TGGGGCATTCTGGGAGTTGAAGTCCACTCATCTTAAAGTGGCCAAGTTTGGACAACACTGGGTTAAGGCATCAGGCTAGAAACTGGGAGACCGTGAGTTATGGTCCCCCCGGAGGCACATAAGCCAGCTGGTTGACCTTGAGCCAGTCCCTCTCTCTTAGCCCTAGGAAGCAGGCAATAGCAAGCCACTTCCAAAAATCTTGCCAAGAAAACTGCAAGGATTTGTCCACCAGCCCATCGCCAAGAGTCAACCTTGACTTGAAGGTGCACACACAAAAACACACTGTAATATTAAACGTTGCTTATCATGAACGAAGATGGAGGAAGTCTGTTTAAAGATGAATCTGTCTTCAGGCTTTTTGCTTAGACAGATTTAGGTTCTGCACTATACCAACAAGTGTAAAAATCCTGGCATAAATGTACAAGAACTCAAAATATGCATTTTAAAGTATGAAAAATGTGCTCTTCGTAAATTACCTTTTGTATGATTTTATTAATGTGTATACTTGCATGCACAAACACACAGATCTACAGATAGGTATATGCACACACATTTACACACTTTTATTTTAACTATTATTAAAATATTATAATTATTCAATGTATACTTACCCCACCTAGTCTGAATTTGATATGAACTCCTGCTGCAGCGTCTAACAATTCTGCCTGTGATCAAACAAGGTTATACATAAATTCAGTCTGATTCGGAATTTAAACTTGGAGAAGATGCAGTAATGGCAAAATCAACAGCATACATTCACAACAGAAGTTTAACCAAATTCAAGGAAGAATGGTTCCCATGTATACAATATATTACGCAGCATGGCAAATATAAACACTTACTAAGTTTCTAAGGGGGCCTAAATGCTTATAAACATCACAAATTGTTAGAGGCACAAGAAGGGGAAGTGAGAAACCAAATAGCTTTTAAGCTTTTGTTGTTGTTTATTTTTGTTTTTTTTAATATATATATAAACAACTAAATTTGATTTATAAATAAAATAAATAACTACAAGTAACAATACAGTGGAGACCTTACTATTAGGTGTTAAGTTTAAGAAAGAAGCCTTTATTATATAATAAATAATTTTAAGTATTTTGCAGTTTCTCAATGCCCCATTCAGCTTCAGATGTAAAATTTAAGCAACCTTATGCTTATCAACATTAACATTTTAGAAATCATAGTTAATAGTAACATAATTTTTCTTTCTTCATCTTTAAATATTTATCTAAACATCAGAGTTTTAATCATCTTCAGTCAACACTGTATAAATACCACTGTACCCAAATAATATAATGTACTACTTGCGTTTTATAATAATATAATAAAACAATATAAAAGGGAAAAAGAATATTTAGTGATATTTAATAAAAAGATGGCAGGGTGGAAATGTAGTTTCACTTTTAGAATTTGTTTCATTCTATTATAAGTCACTTTCCAGAATTGTTGAGCATTACAACATTGCCACCAATATAGAAGAATTATCCAACCTGATTGTTACATTTCCAACTATTTTTAGAAAATGAATTATCAATTTTAGCAATAAATATCAAGTAATATGCCACTGATAAAGCATCTTGTACTAGTTTTTTCTAAGTGTGATATTCACTGTAAATATATATATTTTTCTTCAAGATTCCCATTGTTTCGTATCAATTGTTCTATTTAAATTCTGCATCCATTTAGTTCATCAGCAACCTGTAGGTAAGACCCAACAAATGCTCAATGTTTTGTGTTACAAGGTTTTCAAATTTGGTCCTCTATTCCATCTTGCTTTTATAATTCTTTTTAAACTACATTGCCCATTTAAAGATAGTAGAACCACTCAGGAGGTTCTGTTCATTCCAAATAAAGAATCTCAAAAGATCAAACAAACAAACATTTTTTGGGGGGTTAGTGTTATTGTTTTCTTTTGCTCTCCTTAGGATAGACCTACCTGATCTTTCTTGGGACAATTATTACAGCTTCCTGATGAGATACCCTTTTAAAACGTTGATTATTGTTTTGCATTTATTCTAGTTAATTAACTTAGAATGTTATAAAACAGGGGTATATTCAAACTTTACAGTGCTAAGACACTCTCAAATTATAGATGAATTTTATTGTTTGTTTGTTTGTTTATTAAATTTGTAGGCTTCCCCGTTCTAGATGACTCTGGGCAGCTTTACAAAATTAAAAACCATACAATAGAAACCACAGCAATAAAAATAGCGTCCATGCAGACAGCAAAAACACAGTTTCATATTCTTCACAACCCCCAGCTGCTGTCCATCTAACTGCGAGAAAAAGCAGGTTTTTAAAGGTGCTGAAAGCCAGGCAACGTGGGAGCAAGGTGGATCTCCAGATGGCACCTGTGATGACAGAAAACGCCCACCTCCTGGATCCCACTAGATCACATTGCCAACTTGAAGGGACCTAAACCAAGCCAGAATATACAGGACAGCTAGACGTTACAGAATTTGTGGAATGCCCCTCTCAAAATAAAACTAATGATTTCATTTGGTTTAAGGTTCATCATGAAACAAATATACTATTTGCTTTTAATAAGTAAACATTCATCTATATATCAAATAAAACAGTGATAGAATGTTGCAGCTTCATGAAACAAAACATTTTTATTGCAAATGAAGAATAAAACAATTGACTTCAAAACCTCATTTTTTTAACAAGAGGGGTGACCTTGCTTAAATTTGCATAATTCCTGAAAGCTGGGTTTAATTTCTCAGTCCATATTTATTTTGAATCAATGTTTGCAATCACAGAAAATCCTGACTTGGCTGTTGGTTTCTCTGGGTAGAAAGGAACCGAGTTCTGTCAGCAATACAGCTGTGAGTGCAATCCGTCAGGCTCGTGCGTGGAAAGCCAGAACACTGTCAGAGCACTCTAGGGTCTCTTTCCCACTTTCTTTCAACAAGTGTGCTGAAAGCCCGCTTGTCCAGACAGAAGAGAAATCCGACCCTGATCCAGCTCTGTACAAGCAAGCATGGTGGGCTTTCAGCATATCCAAGCAAGCAAAAGCTCATTGTGCTTGTCCACGCAAAGCTGGAGCCTTGCCAAATTCGCTCCAGTCTTTGCAGGGACAAGCCAAATATCCATTTGCCCAGGCTGAGAGGAAGCGAGTGTGGGCAGCAATTCTGCTTCGCATGAGAACTCCTACTGTAAACAGTAATTAGCCGTAAAGGGAGAAAAAAAAGGAGGGTTAGCACATAGACATGTAGCTTTTAAGTATTCATTGCAAACTTTGATTATACCATATTAAGCAGCACACTGTTGTTAAAGCTAGACATTTCATGGAACAGTATTGTCTTGGATCAATGATAAAAGAATGAAAACGAAATTAAAGCCATTATCTCTTCAGGTCCACCATCAAACTTCCACTTCATTTTAGCCCTTACCTCTCTAGGTTCAATGTACTTCATAAGATGGGAAGGTTCCCCATATTGTTTAAAGCCTATAAGCTCTTTATAGTACTCAAACACGCCCATATCCTGGAGGAAATAGATACATGCAGTCTGGTTATTGCTATTATATTTGCTATCACTTTCTGGACATAACATTTCACCCAGGTTTCTCCTGATACAAGTATTAATTCATAAGGTGCTGGCTGTAGGTTATGGGTGTCCAGAGAGGTGGTGAGTTCTCTTTCATTTGCTATGTTCAAGAGGAAGCTCTTGCATTAAACAGGAGGTTGAAGTCAACACCCTAAACAGCCCCTTCTGACTATAATTCAGTTCAACCAGGCTCCAAGTTCTCCAGATTAAATAGACCTCTTTTATTTTTAAAACTCACTATTGGCTGCCACATCAGGAAAAAGTGCCATTCTAAGCCATAGCTTGCTTAACTATGGCTTACTGAACAAACCATAATTGGCTGGCTTCACACGCTGTTAACCCATAGTTTACAAACCAAAACTGCTTGGTTCACATATCATGCCCAATGAAGAACTACAACCCAAATAATTGTTAATCATGATATATGAATAGTGTAGTGTAGGATAGTATAGTACAGTGGTACCTCGGGTCATGAATGCTTCTGTTCACGACCAATTCGGGTCACAAACAGCACCGTTCGCAAAATTTTGCTTC